GCCACAACAAAGATGGGCGCTTGGCCGGAAGCGGCTTCAGCCACAACAAAGATGGCGGCGAGGAAGGGCGGAAGTCACGCGACGCCACGTACAAGATGGCTGCCGAGTCGGCTGGCTTGACCTTCTAAGGATGGCGGCCAAAAAGGCGGGAAAATGCAAGGACCCAGGGCGAAGGGTGTCTCGCTCGACTGCCTGACAAACACCCCGATGCCAACGCCACTCCGGTGCAATTTTCCGCGGCTTTTCCAGCCGCGCGGACACGGGCTGTGCGCTCAGCGGCTCTGGGACCGGGCGCGAGCCGGCCGGGCGCCGACAGGCAGTGGTGAAGACGCCTTTCCATGCCGGGGTCCTTGCCGCGGCCGCATTCCTGGGGTATTGCACTCGCGCCGACCCGTAGCTTGCTGCCGCTCCTCTCGCTCGGCTCTCTCCCCCCCGGCCCGAGGAAATGGCGGAAAACCGAATGGCATCAGGCCCGAACGGTCGCTCCCCGGCGAAGGGACCAAAGCGGCCCGAGGAGGCGGCTGCTCTGTGTGCCGGAATGGTGAGAGGGGCGGGCGGGCAGGGGGAGTTTATCGACCTAGTATATACCTGTAAGTATAAAGATGATCAAAATAGATATTAACAAATATTGAAGATAAAGGGGCTGCTTGGTTTTTATTTAGTTAGAGGCAGGGTTTTTAAATAAATAAGAAAAAGAAAAATAAATAAAATATTTAAAGAATGAATATATAAAGATATAGAGAAATATATATATATGTAAGCGTAAAAATAAGTAAAAATAAGTAATAGAAATATATACATATATATTAATTTATAATATATAATATTATTTATATACATACAGATGGTAACATGATATATTTTAGTATATGTTATGTGTTATGTATATCAACAAGGTATATAAATATGATAAAAAATATATATTAAAATATTTTTAAATACCGTTTAAGATGAAGGGACTGTTTGGTTTTTATTAGGTTAGCGGTGGGGCTTTTAAATAAATACTACAAAAATAAAAACATACAAATGTATATTAAATATATAAAGATAGAGACATATGTGCAACCAGAAAAGAAATATAAGTAATGTCAATATATACAAACATATTTATATTTAATATATATTTTATATATATATTTTATATATTTATTTTATATATAGTAAATATATATAATTAACATATTATGTATATAATATATTTAATATATAATAATATATGTATACATGTTAATATAATATATTTTAATACTTTATATATTGTGTGTTATATATAAATGAATATAGTATATAAATTTAAACGTGTGGTGAAAATAGATGTTAATTTTTTTTTTTTTTATTTTCATTGTTTTGGTATGTTTCTCGGAGGCAATCCTCCCTTTGCAGCTGCTGACAGCACTGAAAACCTGCGTGCTTCGTGGTGTCTATTGCCCAGCTGGCAACGATTCCCTTGTGTTTGGTGCATGAAGTCACACCAATCTGTGTGGGATGGCAGGTGAGCACATTGCCCGACCCTTTTAGCTTTTCTGGCTCACACACAACTTCCTTTCCTTTTTTATATGGAAAACAGGGAAGAGAGGGTAGTGTGATATTAGCATTTCTAGCAGATTTTCAACTGCCACTGATGCTCATTCATCTTTGCAGTGTGGGTTTTCATGCTGACAAATCCTCTGCTTTGCCTTCTGCTCAGAGTCAGGTGGGCCCTTTATTGAACAGATTTATCTGCTACAAGGCCACGCAGAAGGATGGAAAGGAGGAACACAGGGGGAAAAAAATAGATTCAAGGCCGTGCATTGATCATCTGATGTCCTCCAGAGACAAACGTGGGTATCACAGGTAACATGGAGCAGCCTTTCTGGCCTTTTCAGTTGTATTCAGAGAGATGTTTGCCTGCTGTGAATATCTGGGTGCTTGGAGTTCACTCTGATTTTAACAAGCCCATCAATAATAAAACATTGTATTGATAGAACAAGATCTACTTCTGTAAAGTTGTGGCTCCACAGAAAAGCGGCATAAAGAAGGTAGCTGGTTTATTTGTATGATATGTAGCTTTTTTAGGATGTTTTGTTCTTTATGTGGCGTTAATTTCAAATACAAGTCTGTGAACTTTGTGTTCCCCTTTAGGGGCTGGTTCTGGGGTAATGAGGAAACACGAGGCCTAAACGCCTCTGGCTTGTCTGTCCAAGGATCTGCCTCAAATGTGGCTCCCATCCTTCTGAAGAACTCTTCAGCACAGTGAGTTACCTTCGATAACTATTTATTGTTGTATTGTTGTTGTGAGACCTCATTGCTGGGTGAGAAGACCAGGGGAAATTAAAGGCTGTATGGCACTGTTACTTCATCACTGAATTCTTGTACTCTGTTAAAATCAAAACAAAAGGGATTTACACTGTCAGAAACACTTAACTGTAAGTTAAGGTAAAGGTCACAGTGCTGAAACCTAAGAGCACATAGCCTTGAGCTCCTTTCTATTCCCTCTCCGCCAGCTTTTGTGACTCCTACCTCCAAGGTATCATCAGATATCCCCTAGATCTTGCAGTGGAAGAGATGCTGAACCATCAGCTGTTCCATATTCTACACCATGTGTCTTTTTACCATGCTCCTCTGAGAAGCATCTCTCCCTTCTCTGTTTCTTTGCAGACAAGAAGGGAAGAATTGGGATTGCCTTTGTTCTTTTGCCTGTTAATAAAAAGGCCGCTTGTGGCTGTGTGCAGTGGCAACTGCATCACAGAATCTTAGAGGTGATTATTCACAGAAATAATTCCTTTTTTTGTCACTGCTGCACTGAATTTCATAGGCGTGTGTGTGGCTCGATGCCTAAGATATTTAAAGCAGGTTTTATTCTTACAAGGGTTTTGCACACTGAAGTGTGTGCCCAGTTTTTGTTTCCAGAAGTGAGGTATAGCGCTGGGTGTTTCATTTGGTATGTTACTTGTTCTGTTGTGTAAATAACTGCAGCGCCCTCCCTGTGCCTGTGTATTGCAGGGGCAGGCGAGCGCTGGTTATAAAGGTGGTGATAATTAGGAATAAGCTGTTTAAGCTTGGATAAATGTTTAGAAATCATTGCTTAGATATTGCTGTGTAGAACACTCGCTTGCGGTGAGAGACTTCTCCAGGGTCAAGCTGTTCAGGTATAAGCAATTTATTATAAGGGTAAAGAGAGAGGAGACCTGTGTCCACCACCAGCCTCGGCGTCCACGTGGTCCGGGGGAGGGGAGAGAGCAGGGAGAGCAGGGGAGGAGAGGTTGGAAAAGGGGAGGGAGGGAGTAAGAGCAACAGAGGGAGAGCGGGGGAAACCAGGGAGGCTTAGGAGAGAGGGGGTGGACAAGAGAGGGGTAAGAGGGGAAAAACCAAGAGGGAAAGAGTAAGAGAGGGAAAGAGTGGAAGAGGTAAGAGAGGGGGAGAGGGGAGCTGAGAGAGGAGTAAAGGGGTAAGAGAGAAGAGCCAAGAGGTACAAGAGAGGTTAAGAGGTAAGAGAGAAAAGCTAAGAGAGAGGTTAAGAGAGAGAGGTTTAAGAGAGAAAAGCTAAGAGCAAAGTTCTTGTTACAATCCAATATATCTTTTTCTATAGTGAATATTCTAATTCCCAGTAACCAATCACTATGACATATACCCACTAAAGATTCTACATACAGTGTTGCATTTGAGGCTCTACAAGCTTTACAAGTTCTTTCCCTGCTTCTTGGCCTTTGGGCTTTCTGTCAGCAGAAGGGCATTGTTTTATCAGCAGGGATTCTCCTTTAGCTGGCTTGGCTATTGTTCTTTGGTCATATAGTTACCAGTACTCTGTATCTTATGACTCAAAGCAGACTTTCATTTCTACTTCGATTCTAGCCTTCTTTTTTCAGAATCTTTTGCCAAACAATCACATTCATAAGGTTTCCCTGTTTCACCCTCCCCAACAGGCAGCGAGTTGTGCTGCACTCTGATAGTTCCATACTCAACCTGTTCCTCATTTCTTAAAGGTTCACTTCAGCCTTGAATCAGCAGGTCCCTAGGTTTGATTTTTTAGGATTCCATTCCTGTAAGATTTTCCCCTGTGAAGACCTGAGTATGTCCAGTCTGACCTCCAGGATAATGAAGGGAGAGGAGCTCCTGTTGATTCAAGAGTGAAGCAAGGCCTCCGTTCTTGGCCTCGGGCTGTTTCAAATGGGGAGGGATCAGTGTCCTGACTTCTCTCCCACAGAGGCAGGGTTCCTGGACGAAGTGACCCAGGGCAGCTTCATGCCCGGGCTACGACCGCCCCTACCAGCTGGAGCTCACGGTGAGGGAGCCCAAGAGCATCCAGCTGTACCAGCACCTCAACCTCAAGTGCTGCATCTGGACCTTCAACGCTTATCACGACATGACCGAGTTAATTGATGTCTGTGGGGTCTCTGTCACCGCTGACTTCCAGGTGAGAGGCCCATCCAGAGCTCTCCAGGTATCCCAGATCTGTCTCAGTTCTCAGGCACAGCTCTGCCTTGTGTGGAGCTGCTGCTCTGCCCTGCACAGGTGGAGCATGGCTTTTCCCCCCCCTCACCTGGAAGAAAACAGTGCTGTGTGCATTTATTTCATTTATTTTCCATTTCATTCATTTTCCATTTATTTTATTCTCTAAATTTTCAGAGTGCCAGGAAAATACTGGTTTTTTTAATGTAGGGCCATACTGGAAATACAAAACATTCTCAGCTGGGCTCTCTTTTATAATTTTGACTGTGTTCTCGGCCAATAGAAATGAGCAGAGGACAGAGCAGAGGCGGCTCAGTCCATGCTCCACAACATGGGATATTTTAGCTCATTCCCTAATTAAGAGACCAGAAGCCAAAAATGTTCCTCTAGAAACGAGTGGCTTTCCCTATTTGGGGTGTCTCACTGTCCTCTCCTGGCTGCATTATCCACCTGCAGCCCACTCCATCTCCCCCAGGCTCTCCCATTAAATTCCCAGCCCACATTGCTTGGACCAGCATCATCTCTCTTAATTCCTGCCAGCCTGGAACTTGCTCATGAAGTTTCCTTTTATAGCTCCAATTGTTTGCACAAACCCAGAGGAGCCGCCTGGCCGGAGAAACTGCCCAGTGGAGCATGTGGAGCCTGGCCCCAGCCAGGCTGGAACATCTCCCCGAATTGTCCAGGGCCTGCAAAGTGTAGCTGCACTCTGCAGATAATAAATGGAGAGCTCTGGGAGGCCTGAGCAAGCAGAATTGCTCATTTCTAATTCACAGCCTTGGAAATCAGGGGGGTTTTGAGGTGAAATTGTGCCCAGAGTTCCTCTGTCCCGTGGTCCCAGGGAGCCTTAGCACTGCCCCTGGATTACAACGCAGGTTTGTCTGAGGTACCTGCACGTAAAGAACGTCCAGAGTCACCTCTGACTTCACTGGAAGGTGCATAACCCCCTTTTTGGGGATTTATTGCCAGGTAAGGGACTCTGCCCAGTCCTTCCTGACAGTCCACGTCCCTCTCTATGTGTCCTACATCTATGTGACGGTACCAAGGGGCTGGGCTTCCCCAGAGCACCACACCAAGATGGAGTTCTCCTTCTTCTACGACACCGTTCTCTGGAGGACAGGTGAGCCTGAGGCACTCCGGGGGCTATGGAAGAAGTGGTTCCTTCATGTTTTCCCCTTAGCTCCTGCACTGCCCCCAGATTGCAAAGAACGTTCTACGTGAATCCAGCTTATCATTTCAGAGAACAGGGCAGCCATCTTTATCCTGGAAGAGGTGGCACGACCAAATCTCTCCTGGCTGGAGTGCTGATGGGATGGGAGTCTGTGCTTAGCAGACTCATTAACAGTTCTCAAGTGGCCCAGCGAGGATTTTCAAAACAAATGGTAGATATGCACAGAAACACAAGACAAGCGTCACCAGGCAAAGCAGACCCAGCTTTGTGAGTCCAAGTGGCTCCTCACCTCTTCTGTCTTGCCTGGCCTGAACTCTATTTTTCTGGAGCTGGGGACATAATCAACTCCCGGTCTGGCCGAGGGTGGGTCTGACATCCGAGTGACACACCACACTGATGTGGGCGTGGAGAGGTCGGGTCCCTGCCGGAGCACTGGGATCTCAATGTGTCCTGCAGCAGCACGTGCACATGAGAGAGCACAAACTGAGAGAGCACAACCTGAGAGAGCAGCCACATTCCACAAACCCCTGCCTTGCCCTGCAGCACTGCTCCTGCCCCCAGGCTCCCCCTGGGCACACAGGGAACCAGAGCCCATCCTCACATCTCTGAAGTTCTGCTGTGCCCCAAATTGCTCCTTCTGGCACCTCCTGGTGGTGAAAGCTTCTACAGTGAGCATCCCAACACGACCCCCGCTCCTCACCTGCAGCCTCGCTGACAGTAAAGGTGGCATTCCCCAGGAACACCGTGGAGGTGTTGTTGGGACTGGCGATGACCACGTTGGCTGAAGCCCAGCTGCCGACGCGGGCGTTGTCCGAGGCATCGGCCAGCACCATCTCAAACTCCTCTTCCTCTTCATATTCGCTGTTGTCAATCAGAGTGACATCACAGGTCACCAGGGTGACACCCGGCCCCAAAATGAGTCGGCTCTCATCCGACAGCCCCCGGGACTTGAAGTCGGAGCCAGATTCCAGCATGTGAAGGCTGCTGCCCTTGGCCAATTGGGGGACGGTGTAGTAGATGCAGACACGGTGCTGCTGGCATCCCCTAGGAAGCAACAGGAAAACTCCGTAATTCTGTGGAAATACTTTTAATCTGTTTGCTGGAGGCACAGGTCACATAAATAATAAAGCAGCATTCGGAAAAGAGGGTGAGGAATGAAAAAGAACACTGTCTCTGCTCCTGAACTTGCATGGCAGCTGGCTTAGACATGACTTCCAGGCATGCTCCTAAATCCACACTCAGGAAGCCGGTGGCACTTGCCTATTAACACACAGCCCAGTGACAGGGTCCACATAAAACACTGTCTAGATCACAGAGAAGCAGCAAACAAATACAAGGGTTTGCTCCTGCTGGGAGCTGAAACAAATCCAAACCCAAGAAGCTTTAACAGCAGAGACAGGAAAGGCTTAAAGAACAAACACACTGTGTGTAGCTTGAGATTTCACAGTTGTGTCACATAACATTGGAGAAGACCCCAAAACCACAAGCAGGCACAGCCCAAGGGCTCGCTCTCTGTCACAAGGGTTCCCCCTCTGCCACATGTCCCTCACATGGGGCTCAGGACATCCTGCCCAGCCCGACCCAGCTTTCCTTTGCACGGGAGCCGAGAGCAAGCCGGCGCTCTCGCTGACGTGGAAGGCGCTCCTGTCGAACTGCAGCGTGGGCTCGTCCTCGGGGTCCACGATGGTGATGGTGGCCCGGGTGACGTTCCCCAGCAGGGCGTAGGCCGGCATGCTGAGCTCCACAGAAAAGCTCTCCGTGCCCTCGAACACGTCGTTGATGGTGACAGTGCAGGCCTTGTTGTCCTCCCGCTCCTCAAACTGCACCTGGAAGGCAGAAATCTGGCTGCTGTCCTTGGACCGGGCTCTGGAGCTTCCCGTCCTTCCCGTCTCACCCTGCTCTGAGGCATTCCCTCTTCTGACAGCAAATAACCCGCGTGACTTTAGGAATAAAACACACCCTCCTCGGTGGTTTTAGCACTTTTTGTCTGTTCTTTCCTCCAGGCTCTGTGGCAGGTGTGGTCGGGCCCACCCACCTGCCCCGCATACTCCACGTAGTCCTGCTCCCCAGGCCGTGATGCGGCTCCAGCGGTGGCCGTTCCCTGCTCGGTGCGGCACAGGACAATGCTGTACTGGTTGAGGTTCCCCACCCGCCTCACGGCGACGCTGACTGAGCCGGCGCTCTCCCTGACCTCGTAGCTGGAAAGGGATCGACCACACACAGGTAACGGGCTGGGGAGCAAACCCCGTGTGGGTGTGTGGGGGTGAGCGCGGCCTGCCTGGGAGATCTGAGGAACAATAACAACCGGGGACTTGGGCACGGGGCAGCTGCTCCACGCTTTAGGCCCCTCTCCTCACTGACAGAATTGCCTTCCCACGCTGCAGGGAGCTCAGCTAAGAGCCCAGCCCCCAGCCAAGTGCCCCTCGTGCCACTTACCTGCCGTGAGTAAAGCTGAGAAGGGACCACTGGACATGGAAGACGTTGCCGCTGACCACGTTGAGTTTGCTGTCCTTCACTAGGAACCGAAAGCTGTCTGTGGTCTCCTGGACCTTCTCCTTGTGCGCCATGTACCGAATGAGGCCCTGGTTCACATCCTCTGCCGGGAGGGAACGTCAAAGGAGTTGGAACAGAAATCCCAAGGCAGCTTTGGAGATGAGCAGTGTGGGTCTGCACGGCCACATGGAGCGAGGATCACAGGGAGCAGTTACCCCCTCACCTCCCCTTCCCTCAGCCCCGCAAGAGTGAACTCTCCCCACATTGTGCTGGCTCTGCACAGCTAGCTACACCTCTGCCAGACTGTGATGAACACCTGCAAGATCTATTACACCTCTTCACTGCCCCAAGTCACAGCTCCAGCTCTAACAAGCCTGGAGAACCTGGGACAAGCTGCAGGACACAGGCTGGTGTCTCCAAGAAATGACAGGATTTCTGCAACTGACAGCCAAGTTCAATGCTTATTGTCAACACACTTTGGAGATCTGCCCCTTGTCTTCTCCCCTCACACCTATTTTTCCCTTATTTTAACAAACTGAATCAAGTGATGGAAAAAAGCAGCAGGACACAGCCCAGCTCCATACCCTGTGTAAAGGTGGTCACAGCTGTGCCCAGCTTCAGCTTGTTCTCCACGTGGCCATTTCTGGGACCAGCTGTTCTCTCATACATCAGCTGTTTGTCATCTGTGTCAGGATCTGTAGTCAGTAATTCCTTCTTAGTGATGAGATTGGTGGCCTGGATTAAAGCCAAAACCAAGGGAGTAAAACTGAAGCTCCAGCAGTGCAAGTCTGATTGACTGTTCACACAAAAAGCCCGACCATCCCTCTGTTAAAACAGACAAAGGCAAAATCTAGGGATGTGAAAGCACAGAGCAGCCTTGAACTGAGATATCCCACAACGTGTTTGACAACACAACAAAGATTCAAATTTTGCCTCTCATCTGGTTTAATTAAACCAGATTTAGTTTAATTAAAAAGACAGATGTGGCTCAAAGAAAAGCAAATTCCAAAGCAGCTGCCCAGCCTTATTTAGCTGGGGCTAAAAGCTAGGACAAATCTTTGGGCTTCACTTAGAAAGCTCTGTTCCACGAGCTGTGCTGACGCTCAGGTGAGGCCCTGCTTGGCAAAAAAACATCTGCAAACAGCCTCAGATTGAAGGACTCACTCAAGACAGTTCACACAGCCCTGGAGAGCCTCCAGGAGAGCACTTTTCAAATGCCCTCAGGTGGATCTGATTCAGTTCCACCACATTTTGCTTTCTCTTCAAAAGCAGAATGTTTTTGACAGGAGGAGAAAGAGACGATATTGTGCTGCTCGAGGCTGCAGGAGTGCTTCTCCTGAAGTGAGGAGTTTGAGCTGAGATAGCCATTTCTTAATGCAATTTCTTACTACAGCGTTTTCCACTCATTTTTTTTCTGGGAAGAACCAAAGTGTTTCTTTACAGTTAGTGCTGGCTCCTCAAAAACAAGCTGAGAGTTTTGTGGGGTTTTGTTTGGATTTCAGCACAACAAAGGCATGTTACAGCAAGAAACTCCTGCACCGTATCCTTGGAAAGCCATCTATCTCTGCAGCACATCATCAAGACATCTCCACCGTCAGCAAAGCTAAAAATGTACCCTGGGGAGGGTATTCTCCATCCCAAAAATCAAAGTGCTGAAGGATGAGGATGCTCTCCTGTGAAGCCTCTTCTCCTGGAGCAGCCTGAGAAGCAGCCCAAGCTGAGGCCAGGCAGGTGTTACCTTGCCATCCGTGTACTCCAGCCACTGCAGGCCCAGGTTGGTGACCACCCTGGGTGTCCCATCATCCACAGGGAGGATGTCCACCTGGAAGCGCTGCGGTGCTGCCGTCACCACCTGACAACAGTTCAGAGACACGGGGGGTTACTGTGCGAGTCAGAGCCTCAGCCACCACGTCACCAGCTCGGCTCCCTTCGGCTCTGCTGGCAGCAAGGGCAGAGTTTGCAGGGAGGGGAAGGAGCAAAGACGTGACTGAGAACATTCAGTCAGCATCTCAGTCCCCCCTGCCCCAAGAGGAGGCAGCTCCCTGTGAGCTCCCAAGGCCCCCTCCCATCCCTTCTCCTCCCTGACCTTCTTCCCTCCCTCCTGCACCACGAAGAGGGGGCTGGTGCCGTCGGAGACGGTGAGGGTGAAGCGGTCCCTGAGCGCGCTGCCGCCGCGGTGGCTGTAGCTGACGCGCTTCTGGTAGATGTCATCCATGGTGAAGGTGGTGGCCTGCAGAGGACGCTGCCCGCGGCCGCTGCGCTCGATCAGCCCGTGCCGGGGCGGCTGTACCACCCTGAATGTCAGGGACTCCACCTGTGCCCGGACATGGAGGGGCAAAGCTGGGGACAGGACCTCAGGGCACTGCCCTTCCAGCTCAGGAGGCCTGGACAGGGATTCTGGCCAGGCAGCTCCCCTGCGTTGGTGTTCCCAACCCAAGGGTTAGCACAGAACATTCCTGGTTCCCCCTGAGCCCCGCCCTGTCCCTGTCCCTCACCCAAGGGATTTTGTTTTGTAGGTGTCTCCCTATAAAACAAGGCACATCCCACCGAATTCCTGCTTCAGCTGGTCTGAGACAGCTCCCACCCACCCCTGTGTCTGCTCCACGAACAAAAGAGCAGTCCCCAGTCCTGCAGCCATTCCGGGCAGTGTGTCCCTTGCCACTTCTGCCACGGCAAAAACCTTTGGGGCAGGATTTTGGCTTAGGCAGCCAGATCTCTTGCTGCAAGGGAAACAGCAGTGAGATAGAGCCAGTGTTAGACAGCTCAGCCTCTGGCCAGACCCAGGAAGAAGAGGAAGTGCCATTTCCATCCATGCTGAGCATAAACTCAGTGTTAAGTCTTTAAACACAAGCCCAGATGTGCAGCACAAGAGGGGAGCAAGGAGGCTGGGGGTGGTCCTGCCTTACCTCTGTGTCAGCATCTGTCGCTTTGAGCTCAAACTCCGTGATGGTTTTTCTCACCCCTTCCTGAACTGTCATCCCAAAGATTTGCACGATGGGTAAGGAGTCATCCACGGGGTTTATGGTGATGTCAAATGTCTGGCTCACCTGGGACAGGAAGAAAAGCTTCCCTTGCTGAATTCAGCCTTCCAAGAGTGTGACTTCACTGCAAGAGCACAGCGATCCCATTTGGGTCTCTTAATTTCAGCCTTGTCTGAGCTGCTAAGCCCAGATCACTTCTTTATCCCTCCCCACTCATTAATTCTCCCTCCTTCTGTGATATTTATGGACATCCACTTTCCCTCCCTCTCTCACTCTGTTTTGCCCCTCTCCCTCTATGTGCAGCTAGACTTTTCCTCTTTCAGAAAGCAGGAAAAAGGCATTTCTCCAGGAGCTGGCTGTCGTCACTACGCTGTCAGTGCACTGGATCAAAGCTGAGCTCCAGGAGCAGTTGGCAAGCAGCTGAAAACCAGGCACTCAGATCTTGGTGAGCCCACAGGGCAGGTGGCTCCCTGTTCCCTGCACAGGCCTTGCTCCCTCCCTGACCTGAGGGATGTGGGAAATCCCACAGCAGGAGAAGGAGGAACAGCCACATCTGCCCACTCAGGCAAAAGTCAGGCTGGGACTGACCTCGTTTGTCCCATCGGACACAGAAAAGGTGAAGGCATCCGTGTGCTTTTCCTCGTCACTGGTGTGGATGTACTGGATGCTGCCAGAGGCCAAGTCTGCCTGGCTGAAGGAACTAATTCTTGTCCCTGGAAAATGAACAACGGGGAGGAAATGTGCAGCAGAAAGAGCAAGGCAGGGAAAAACTACAGGAAGCAGGACATATTTAGGCATGAGGACTCGGTTTTGGCTGGTTCTGATCCAAGTCAGGCTGCCCCGTGAACCCTCAGCTGAGCCAGGGATTTAGCTGGCACAGAGCCTCCTAAAATTTCCTTCTCAAAAAGAAGTCCAGGCTTCTTTTCACCTCCTCCTGTTGGGAGTGGGCCTCCTGGGGCAGAGAAGCTGGGAGAAAAACTGTCCATGTAACACTTGGATTGTCGCTGCTGGGCAGGACTAACCCAACCGTGGCATCACTGGGGATGAACTGAATGCCTCCTGGCCTCACAGCAGTTTTCCAAAATGCCTTCCAAGGATCTCTTCTCTCTGCCCTTCCTTATACCCCTGCATTTAGTACCCAGTCCCATTTTCAGCACTGATTTATAGTGACATCTTTACAGCCCATTAGGTGTGACACAGCCACAGAAAGGTACCTGACAAGCATTTTAAAAAACACTTGAGCGTTTTTAAATCTCTTTGCTGTGTTCAACAGTTTTTACTGCTGCTATCAACCAACATCCTGACGAGAAGTTTGCCACCAGTATATCGCACTAAATGGCTGCTGACAAGTGCTGGCCACACTACAGAAGACACCAGGATCTGATTTAAATAAATGAGCCACAATGGAATGATCAGCTAATATTTCCTCAGAGCTCATCAGCTGGAAAGGTTTGGGTTCTCTTTTGAACACTTCAGTACTCTCTCCTGAGGTTTAGGTCATTTAAATCATTACAGCTACTTCTCAGTCTGTGACTCTGTAGCCTTATTGGTCCCTCACAGACATGAAAAAGCAGAGAAATCAGAATCATCATCAGATTTTAAATAACAGGAGGAATAAAGCCCTTAATTCAAGTCTCCAAAGTACAAGAATCACTGGTTAGTCTGCAATTTAGACAAAGATACTGCAAGTTTTGAATTTACTCTCACAGCAGGGAGTAGTTTGCTTATTATAACTCATTCATTATTCCTGCCCTTTCAACATGTTTTTGTGAGAAGATGAGGCAAACCACACACCCAAACTCAGCTGTACAGGGACTGTCTGCATCTTGAAAACACACAACAGATATTTCCGCTTTCATCTCATGTTAACGAGAAAGCTAAAGCTAAGAAGAAATGCAACCTTAGATGAATATAATAAAATCAGAAGAGTGTATTTTATGACACCACAGATCAAGATTAATTCATCAGAGAGAGGCAGCACACTCACACAGTCAGCAGGCACGAAAGGCAGCTCTGAAATTCAGATCACATCTGCAGAACTGACCAAGCCCCTTCCCTGAACAACCAGAGTTCATTATCCAGCACAACCATCACACCCCAACATCGCTTCCTGTTAAACTCAGTGGACGGTTCCCTTCCTCTCTCCACAGCACAGCTTAGGGAAAGAGGCTGGGCTTTAGGGATCAAGGGACATACTGGCCAAGAGGAGGACAGAAAGCACCAAGGAGGACAGTCTGTGCACCAAGATGAGCTGTTTCCAAGGACATTAAGGGATGGATTCTTTGCTGTTCACAGCAAAGGCCAAAGGTTTTCCTGTGAGAAAAGGAAAACCTACTGCAGAAGCAGCAGTAGGGCCAGAAACTGGCCCAGAGGCTGAATAAATCCTAAACTGGGATTATTGGGCTGCTCTGCCTCCACTCACCTTATTCCCCAACCCTCTGGGCTCATTTTTTTAGCTTTGATTTCTAACAGGAATTGTGTTGAAGGACCCCCGAGCTATTCATCAGTCTTCACAGAAGTAATTGTGAATGCCGTTTATTTCTATTATTAACACACCTTTTATAGGGTTCTACAGGGTTTGCGGGCAGAGCAAGCTACTATTGGTTAGTACACACAAGTTTACATTCTTATCCTTGTACACAGGAATATTGTTTTACTTTCTGCAGGCAAGTTTCAAGGATTTTGGCCCTTAATATTACAACTTAATCCAGAGGCTGGTTTGTGCAGACAGGCCTTTACTAATATATCGTGTCCCCCATCTGCTAAAAAACTCTATAGAATTGGAATTGTGTGTCGCTGCCTCTGGGCAGGTTTTTCCTGCAATGAATGTTTAGGGCTCAAAAGTCTCCAGCATTTTGCTGCTGTGAGAGCCCAACACCTCCCAGCTCACCTGGGGAAGCCACGTGCTCCAGATGCCCCAGCTGTGGCTGCCAGGTGACCTTGAACTGGAGCTGGGAGGCTTCTCTGTCCTGGTCAGTGGCCGAGAGCTGGAGGGTTGTGATTGTCTTTGCCGAGTTCTCATCCAACACCAGCCCCTTGTTAGTGATGATAGAGGGGGGAAATCTGTCCTCTGGAAGGGTTAAACACAAAGCTGAGTTAGGAGATGCTTCTTCCCGTGGGTACTTGTGTAAGAAAACAAAACACACGCACAAATGTTTTGATAATTCCAAAACAGGAACTTTAGGCCTTGCCATTGATCGGAGTTAATAACATTATAATGTCTTATAGACAATCTCAACAAAATGTGAAAGATATTAAGGGGAATTTTTCTACCTTTTCACTGAGTTTGCCAGAAGCCAAAGAATGAACCCTTACATCTGCAAAATCTCCCCGTGCCCCTCACTTCAAAGGCCTTGGAATTGACGGCGCATCAAAACCGAGTCTCAAGAATTACATTTCGCTTTGCAGTACATGTGGGATGGAATCTGGGAGCAGCCCTGAGCGCTGCCGCAAAGAAAGCATAACTGCTTTTTACCTATGACATGGATGTAAAAATCCTGGTCCATCAGTTTGTTGTCATCTGAATCCATCACATCAAAGGTGAAAGGGAAGTTTCCACCAGGATCCCTCTCCCGTGGCTGTACACCACATGCCCTGGAGAGAGGGACAGCAGAAAAGAGATGCTTCATTACAGGCTGCAGCTTCTAATTCTTACTTTGGAAGCAGGCTGGCCCCATCAGCTGAGGCACCTGGGGCTTGACAGAGCTCCAGAATTTGGGTTTCACAACTTTCTCTCTTTATTCTTTTTCTCCTGCTGAGAGAGCTGTTTTAACATCTGTTTAATGATACGTGGTTCTGCTCTAATCTTACTTCTTTCCCTCCCTCTCTCATAAAGAATCACAGAATCATGGAATATCCCAAACTGGAAGGGACCCATAAGGATCATCAGGTCCAACTCCCTACTCCTCACGGGACTACCTAAACCAGCCTTTGTTTATACACTTGCTGTGACTGCCTAAAACCCTGCACTCACCTTTGTTTATATCGGCCTGGGTGAAACTTTGGAAGGGTCCTTTGGCAGAGATCTGGACTGGAATATCAGCTGTGGTCAGCTGCAGCTGGCCCCTGCTGGGGTCCCTCCTCAGGACAAATCTGATGGCCGTGTCCCCTGAATGAGCAGCAGCTGCCTTCAGGTGCTGAGCCGTGAGCCGAGCTGTGGAGCCTACACCAGAGAAAGCAAACCCCACCTTCAGCAGCTTCAGCCAGCCCAGCAAAGGGACTGGTTTAGGCTGGACCATCCAGCAGCACCAAGCAATGCCTCTCTCCTCCCTGGCCCCTTACCAGCTGGGAGCTGCAGGTCCCTGTTGACAGCTGCTTCCTCGGCAGCTCCACGGAGAATTCCAGCCTCCCCGCCTGTAGAACCCGTCCGTGAGGGAGAAGCCAAACTCGTCCGTCTGTGCTGCGGCACCGCTCCGAGTGTAAACGATCAGCTCATCCAGAACGTCCTGGTAGGTGAAGGAGGAGCCTCTGGACAGCACCTGTCCCTGCTCCAGGGCCTCTGCCGCGCTCTGCCTTCTGCGGAGCTGGCCCGGCAAACAACGGAGGGATCAGCACAGCCTGCGGGGGACGGAGCCTTCGCCCGACACCCTGCCTGGCTCGGGTGCTGCACCTGCCAGCAGGGAGCTGGGAACACAGCGGGGAACTTCCCAGGGAAGCACAGGCACTGCCCCCTTCTGCTCTCCAGCAAAGAGCCAGGGACAGCTCGCCAAGAACAGGGCTGTCCTGCTCCAAACTGTGCTTTATCCCACGTGCCAGGGGCTCTTACACACGCGCACAGCAAAGACAGACAGACACCGACGCAGAAAGACTCCCTGTCCCTCACCCCCCCGGCCTGTCAGGACATACCATGCTCAGGACTTTGGCTCACCACGATGACCAGCTCACTGCTGCTGGTGTCCAAGTCCTGCAGGCTGAGGGAGGCGTTGGTAACAACCACGGCTGAGCCCTCCTGCAGGCGGACAGGCTCCAGCGCCATCTTCGGGGGCTCGTGGTTCTGCCGCTGCACAAAGGCACGCAGCCAGAGAAAGGAAAATGAGCACAGGGAAAGACCCACCCTAATGGAACACAGGCTCCCAAATGACAGCAGTGGTGCTGGCATCACCAGCCCCTCCAAATCTATCCAGCATCATGGCTGCTTCCAAGAGGGAGGAGACAGCAGAGCAATAAGCCCTGGTGAACAGGCTGCAGTGCACAGCTCTCCTTGGGGAGCAGACCTAAATTATGTGCCTGTGCTAGGGGAAGGAACCTCCCTTTAATCTCCTTCCCACGTATGAAAAAGGAAGGAGTAAAGCTTGCCCTTGGAAGTGTTTGTGTGAGAGGAGAGGGCTCTGGCAGCCGGCATACCTGGATTGTGATGTTGATGCTCTGCACCTCTGACCGGCTGAAGCCATCACTCACATAGAAGCGGAAAACATCACCTGTGGGCTCAATGCTTTCATGGACGCTCTGGAAGTAGTAAATGCTGTTCTCCAGGACATCTTGAAGGGAAAAGGAGGCATCTGTGGTCCCTGTAGACTCACTCCGTGGGCCAAACCTCTCGCCTGCAAACCAGAATTTCGCTGGTGAAAGGATGCTCAAATGGCTGATAAACTCAACATAAACCCAGCAGGATGAGGGGAAGAAAGGCACATTGCGAAGGCTGCAGAAGGAGGGAGGTTCCTTTCTACAACTTGACTTCCCACATCTTGTGGCCTTTGAGGGAAGCAACGTGTGCTGTGTTAAAGTGGGCACTGGGGAAGCCGCAGTTTTAGAGGCAGCACAAGCGATCCCCTCCGTGGCATGTGACAGATGTGTTCCTCTTAGGAGCACAAACAGCCAGGAGAAAGAAGGCAGAGCCAAGCAGTTTACCTGTCCTGGTGTTTTCGATGTAGCCATACACGGGCAGAGTGACCACAGTGACCCTCAGGTCCTCCCTGGCAGCAGTATCATCATCAGCAGTCAAGTGGTGATAAGCCAGCAGCGGGACCCTGCCTCCCTCATCCACCTGCAAAGCAACAGCAGCCAACACAAATCCTTACTGAATGAGGCTGACTCCCTGGAAGAGGCTTGTCCGGGCTCTGGAGCGCTGTCCCATCCTCCCCTAGGTCTGTGAATCGGGAATTCAGCAGGGAGGAGGGGTGGGATGGGAAGAACAAAGCCTGCCTGGCCTCCAAGAGGAACCTGTGAGCTCTTTATCAAGGCAGGAAGGGAACAGGCAGAGTCATAGTGAGCTCTCAGAAGGCAAGACCTGCACATTTCTTGTTGTGGAGAGTCTTTGGAAGGCAAGGGAGGGGGAATGCAAAGCTGGAAAGGAGGGAGATGACTTCCAAAGGCTTTGGTAAAAGGAGTGTGAAACACTCTGTGTCAGTCCAAAGCACCAAGTGTCTCCAGCGTTGTCTTCTGCTCATCTCTTGCACACACACTGGTGAAATCGGGGGTGAAACATTCAGTAGGGATAAATCTGACTTGCTCCACTGATACCAAGAAGGGACAAGCTAGGGACAAGCAGCTCCTGACTACAACAGATGTTAACAGATGAAGTTCAGGGATGCAGATGGACTGTCAGCCTCCTCTGGCCTCCAAGAGATTCGTTCACCCTTTGCACGGCACTACGTTTTATTCAGTGATTCCCCCCCAGTCCAGGAAAACTGTTCAGCTGCTCCCATCTCAGCCATTCCTGTCCCTGTGCCCATCCCCAGGGTCCTGGGCAGCCACTCACAGTGACGTGGTCGGCGAAGGCGATGAGTGCGGGCGGTGCCAGGGCAGATGTGATGGTGATGGTGAACATCTGCCTGTCCAGCCGGTTGTTGTCTGCATCCAGCACAGAGAAGTGGAAGATGTCGGTAACGGGCTGGTTGCTGGTCTCAAACGTGGTGGAGTAGCTGTGGGATCAGGAGACAGGGAGTCAGGGAGTCTCCCTGACCCCCAGGCAGATGCATCCCATCCCTGCAGTTACAAGTGAGTGCAATCCTCTTGGAGGAGAGGCGGTGTCTCAGTTCCCAACCCTCCTTCAAATTCATTCCCTGCATTCTTTTAAGTAGCCCAGAGATCCCTGGGGAAAAGCCCACTGAGAGTTTTTAACTGGTGTGGCTTGAAGGAGCACAGTGCTCTTTGCTACCTGATCCTCTGGCTGTTGATGTCTTCCATGGTGAAATTATAAACCTTGGAAAGCTCTTCACTGTGGGAGCCTGACATCCTTAGGAGGGTTCTATAGGCTGGCAGAGATTATCAACTGGATTCTGATCTCTGAGTCAGGAGAACTGTTGTCCTAAGCATGAAGAAGCAAACCAAATCAAAACAGGGCAAAAATAGCCATTGCTTTGTTCCACTAAAAGTGGAAGGAAAAATAAGTATTTTATAGGGAATTATACCTGCCTAGCTGGGTCAGACCCACAGATGAATATTAAACGAAGCTCTACTGATGAGAAGAGAGTCAAGAGGGTTGACATTTTCAAACACATCATCAAACATAAAATCATTTTCTCTCAGCTCAGAAAGGCTTTCTCTATGTCCTTGTATCACATGAACACAGTCTCCCAGACATAAACCTGGTATTTTCGTTTCCCAAGTACTTCAAACTGAACTAAAAGCTGATTTTGTCTCTTTTCAACCACATTAAGTACAACCACACTACAGTATCACAACTCACACGTCATCTTTCTTAGAGGAGTTTTGTTAGGTGGTTGAAAAATAAGACCCAGAGCAGAAATCAACACATCCTGAGCAAATGGGTCAGGAGTGAAATCCTCTTTTCCCTAGCTGTCCTCTTGCTCAGATTAAACCTGAGCAGCTCTCTTGTCAGCTGTCGGCCTTAAGAGGAGAACAGGACAGATTCCAGACTTGAATCCAGACTGATCCCTTGAAAAAAAATAAAATTCCCCATCATCTCTCTGACAGCCAGCTTCTCTCAGCTCAGATCTCTCCAGCCTCACACCTGTACTGCCATCTCTCCTCCCTCAGGAGGTTGCTAAATCATCTGCAAGGAGTACAGAGCTTTCTTGGGAAGGTCACCAGCAGGATAACTCTTGCACAGCACACAAGCCCTGGGACCGAGTTACCAAGATGCTGCAGCAGCATCTTGGGGTTGTTAAATCCTTCCCCCTTCAAACCTGCCCAGAAAAAGAACCAGGAAATTCTGGAAGGCGGGTGAGGGGGCTGAAATTTTCAAGGGATTAACACTTAGCAAATCCATGTGCTTTATTAGTCTGTTTGATAGAAAAATCTGGGATGAACTAGGTTCTCATGTTTAGCATGGCAGCTCACCTCTGTTACAGTCAAATGGGGATAACCATAAACCCCTGTAGGATGAAAGAGTGTGTTATCCCCTTCTTGCCTCCCTGCCCCACCTGCCCCAGCCCCCGTGATTTCGCGGTCTGTTCCTGTGGCCCCAAACCCCACGGCGGATCCTGCGGCGCCCCCTCCCCTTCCCTATCCTCATCCCTCTCCCGTCTCCGTGGGAACCGGCGAGCTCCCCGCTCCGTGTTCCACACCCCCCACCAGCCTCGTCCCCGGTGTCGCAATCCTCGCCCTGCCCGCCCCCGGCTCTGCCCTCACGGCCCCCGTTCCCTCTGTCCCCACAGGCGTCCCTCCCTTCCTGCCCGCTCAGACCGGCGCGCCCTTGCCCCTCGACCGCACGGCCCTCGTTACTCCTACCCTAGTTCCGGCACGCTCCACTCCCCTACACCTGCTCCGTGCCGCCCGCGCCGCCTTGGCGCCTCGCGGGCTCCGCTTTCCCAGCAGCTGTGCAGTCGCCGGTCCCGCCGCTCACAGCGGCGCCGCTCTCAGCCCATTCAGAAGTCGCGCTGCCCCACACCACGCCCCCATGCTGCCCTGCGGCGCTGACGTCATCCACGCATGCGCAGTCACAGCTTCTATCGGTGGCGGTTCTGCCGCCGCCCACGGCTGCCCCGTGCCCGCTCGCAGCCACAGCTTTTCCACCGCCCTCCATACCGGCCTCTCAAACCGCGGGGGGGAGAGCAAGGACGGGCACAGGGCCCCGGCTCTACAACTGCTGACACCCGCATTGCCTCTGCCACCGCCCGGCCCAGTGGCTGTCCAGTCCCCGCCGTGCGTCTTCACGTCCCCGCCTCCACCACCGAAGCCGCCCAACGCCGGCACACGGCCCCCGCCTGTCTCTGCCCCGCTGCTAACACCGGCACAGATCCCGTCTGTATCCGCTACGCCAGCGACTCTCCCCGACAACACGGAACAGCGACAGCCGCGGCCCCCGCGCACCGATGTGCTGCCACTTCCGGGTTCACCTACGCGGCCACCGTCGCAGCCCATGACAAAACAGCGCGCGCGACTCTTGAATGCCGCTGCACCACCACCAGCAGCCACCAAACATGAGGGAGAATGGGAAGGAGAAACAGAGGGAAATAAAGAAAGAGATTATTCAAAGGCAGATACTGTAGCACAAACAGTGACGGTTCAAGCAAAGGAACTTAGAAAGACTTTGAGAGAAAGTGATCTACCAGAGACAGTTCAAGAAAAAAAAAAAGGAAGTCCATAAATTATCCAACTTAGCTGGCAACACTGCTGAAATACAAAGGTTTGCTTCTTACCTTTTTTTTTCCCTTTGCTCCATTGTTCTGAGTAATTGTAGCAAAAAAAGGAAACGCTGTTTTTTCCCAAAGAGTTTTCTTTTACACGGGGCTCCTTACATCAAATTTAACTCAGAGGAGCCAAACAGCTACAGTCCCTCTGAGGGCTTTTATACCCAGTGGGATTTGCAACCTCCCCTTTCCCAGGCATCGTGGGAAAAAGAGGCGGGCCCAATTAGGGGTATATTAACCCCAGGCTGTACTAAGGGGCATTATTCCCTCCAGGGGAATCAGCTGGGGTAAGGAGCTTGTCTCTCATTTTAGTGAAGAGGCTCTTTCAATTTATTCTAGCTTGCTAAGAGCAGGCATCTTTTGGGCATTTGAAGCAGCAGAAGTTTTGAAAACACCTTGAAGAAAACAATATTGAACACAGGGAGTATTTAAGTTCATGATTTTGGGTTGGGGGTTCAGGGGTGATAAGATGCTTTTATAATGACTCTTCTTCTTGGCTTTTTTTTTTTTAGGACTTTAATTTCCAGAAGTTTTAGGTCGCGTCAAGTGCGATGTTTCGGATTCTCTCAGCAGATTCATCGTAACACAAAAGGGAACTGCCCCCGCAGCAGCTTTCCTTAGCAGCGGATCGGCCTCTCGCACAGATTTGCTTGGCAGAGATAAGCCGAGGGCCGTGGTCACAGAGGGGATTAAAGCAGGGCAGTGGGTTAGGATTCACACCGGTTAGGGGTTTTGAGTGAGCTATGTGGAGGGGAAGGTTTGAGAAGTTGCCTCTGGGGCTACAGAGAGGGAAAGGCTCACTTTGGCTAACAATGCTGAGGTGGGCAGGGCAGAGCAGTCCCAAGGTGGGTTGTCACTTGTCTATTGTGCCTTCTGTGTCTTCTGTGCATCTCGTGTAACATGTCTCTTGCCTTAGCCCTCCCAGGAGCTTATGAGAAACCCCAGGTCCTTCCGCTCATCTCCCATCTTTGCGTTCCTCGGCCCGGTGCCGATGCTGGCAAAGCTTCGATTCGGGAGCTCGGACAGGCGTCAAAATCGCATCTCTCTTCAGAAGCATCTGATGGGATGTCTTTTTAGGTCTTGTTCTCCGCTGTGTTGACAGCTGTATGCAGCAGTGTTTCTTTACAGTGGATAAGGACTTGTGCCGATTCAAAGGCAGGCAGAGGCTTCCAGCCGCAGGATTCTCAGGCATCCGTCTCTGCGGTTCTTGGAAAAAGTTGTTCCGTTAGCATCTTTTTCCTCCAGGGTCATCCGAGCCCTCGGATCCTCCTCGGTCATCTCGTTCAGCATTCTCTCGGTCCTCGTGAGGACTTTCTTGTCGCAGAGAGTTTTCTCTCCCTGTCATGTCCCCTCGTCTCACATGTCACGGGTGTCTGGGGGTATTTGGTCTGGAGCTGCTCTGCCCTGCCGCCCAGCCCGGTTGTAGGTGTTTAAGGATAAGTCCCGGGCACTTGGAATTGGAGATTTGTAATAGGGGCTGTAGTTGGAGTCTAGGTGGTATTCTTACATTGGCAGAAGGTGTTTGGAGCTGTGAAGTTACCCTGCAGCACTTTGACTATTTTTTGACCTAACTTTCTTTCAGATGCGGAGGGATTGACCTCGTGGCAGAGTGCCTATCCCAGATGAGGGGATCCCCCTGAGAAGGTCGGTCACGGTTCTCCTTTGCAGCGGGGCTGGAACCAGTCACTGTGTTACAGCTCTGCTCTTTGTCTTTTTTTTCAGGAAGTAAAGCCGGATAGCAGCAGTGAAGGTGAAGCAGGTGGAAGGTGAGCCTCGGTTGGTGGAGAGAAGCAGTTGTTCTTGCTGGGGCCTCAGTTTCTGGTGCAACTGCAAGCATCCCTGCTTGTTTGTGTGTTTTAGGCTGCCTCCTGATGCTGTGCTGAGGCCCCCTCACTGACCTGCCAAGTGACCCGGTTTTCTTCTCTGGTGAGCCCCAGCAAATATTACCGGAGTCCGTGATGAAGCCTTGACCTCGTCCATGTGTAGGTGCGGTCCGGGTACCCTTTAGGCGCGGCCGAGGAGTCGCGGCGAGTCGGGGGCGTTGGAAGGAGCGGCGAGGGCGCGCTCAACTTTTAGCGATGCTACATTGCCTCCTCTCCGTTTATCCTAGGTGCACCCTGCGACGACAGCGTCCACCTCGGAGCGTGGCCGAAGCGTGCAGCCCGAGGAACCAGGAGTTCCTAAGAGATGGTGAGTAGGAGTTGGGTTTTGGTGAACATGCCACTAAGATTGTGCACTTATATTTGGTTTTATTTATCAGAGGTAATGATACTTGTCTGATACAACAGCCTGGTGAGAGAAGAACTTCCCAGACAGCGAGGTGGCTTTGTTTGGCTCCTGACCGGCCTCTCGCTGTGACTCACATCTTCAGCCATCTGAGAGATAAGTGGAGCCCGCAGAGGGGATCAAAGCAGGGTGGCGGGACGGGACTCAGATTGGTTTGGGTTTTTGAGTGAGCTTTGGGGATGGGGAAGTTCTGGAAATGACCCCATAGGCCCCAGTGAGGGAAAGCCTCACTTTGGCTCGCAATGCTGAGGCGAACAGGGCAGAGCAGTCCCAGGGTGTATTGTCACTTGTCTCTTGTGCCTTCTGTGTCTTCTGTGCATCTCATGTAACGTGCCTCTTGCCTTAGCCCTCCCAGGGGCTTATGAGAAACCCCGGGGTCCTTCCGTTCATCTCCCATCTTTGCGTTCCTCGGCCCGATGCCGGCGAAGCTTCGATTCGGGAGCTCTGACACGCGTCAAAATCGCATCTCTCTTCAGAAGCATCTGATGGGATGTCTTTTTAGGTCTTGTTCTCCGCTGTGTCGACAGCTGTATGCAGCAGTGTTTCTTTACAGTGGATAAGGACTTGTGCCGATTCAAAGGCAGGCAGAGGCTTCCAGCCGCAGGATTCTCAGGCATCCGTCTCTGCGGTTCTTGGAAAAAGTTGTTCCGTTAGCATCTTTTTCCTCCAGGGTCATCCGAGCCCTCGGATCCTCCTCGGTCATCTCGTTCAGCATTCTCTCGGTCCTCGTGAGGACTTTCTTGTCGCAGAGAGTTTTCTC